ACGCCAACAACAGTGCCGCCGATGAATAGCCGGGCGTCCACTTCGGGATATTTTTCGATCAGTCGCTTGACAAACATTATGGCCGCGTCTTTATCGTCATGAATGCAGAACAACAATTCAAACTAAATCAATAATACAATCATTAATATTTATGTAAAATTAAATATTGCTTTAAAATGTATTTTATTATGAAATAAAAAGACCATAAATTATATCAAATTGTTTTTTAGACATTTTTTGAAAAATTTTATTTACATTTCAGAAAAATAAGTTTCATTTGATTAAGAATTTCAATCAAATAAATGACAAATTAAGTGAAATTTTCTCCTTATTTAGTGCAGTGTTTGACGTCATCGTAAGAAACAATAATTTACTTTAAGTTTTTAACTAAAACTTAACGATGGGTTTGCGTGCGGTCTCTGGAAAATATACATTTCGGTACTAAAACTTGTGCACAAATTGTGACACAAAGTCTACACATTAATTAAACAATTATTTTTCATTGCCTACCATTGAATAAGACTAAGAATTCAATTAAAACAAAATATAAATATCGATTTAATTATTCACAAACAAACACATCGTTAAAAAACTTAAAAAATTATTGAATGATTGGTTGGAGAGTCCATGAGATAAGCAATGAATCAGAAAAATAAATTGCTAATGAAATGCAATAAATGTGTTGATATATACAAAATATTATAATCACACCATTTGTCTGGTCTTCAAAACTAATTTTATCATTTGAGACAAAATTGCTCAAAGAAATGCATAAATGTTAATATAATATATAATAAGTTATTATTAATAAGAATATTACGCTATATTATAATCAACTATTTATGAAATAATTACAAGTTTTTTGTCGTTTATTTAGACCTCAATAAACAGCATAAATGTTAATAAACACAATGTCTTCGTTGCTATTAATACCTGAATTGTTTCAATGCTTATAATTGACATGACTTTCACTTTTATTGTTATTCACATCTATATAAAGGAATATTACTATAACTATATAAGTATTTATTTAAATTATTTACTAAACATTTAAATAATAAAAAATGCATAATAAAAATGAAATATATATTCAAATTTACTAAATATATTCACATGTCGTTCAAAAGACCGGTATTTGTAATACAATTCTAGTTATAAATTATAATAATTCATAATAAAAGGGGAAATAAAGGCAACAAAACAATTTGTTATGAAATATTTATAACTATTTATGCGATAATTATATTGAATGAGACATTGATTTCATTCATGATATAAATAGTTATTGAAATAAGTATTTTTGTTTACAAATTTTGGAGACAAACTGTATGTCAATAACTGATTGTCATTAATATAGCCGTCAAATGAGTCACACATTCATGTATTTATCAGCAAAAAGTCAATCAAAAACTAAACACTAATTGCATAACAGAATAGACGGCAGAGAAAAAGGCGGACAAATTGTAAACACAGAATACAAAAGACTGAATCTAATCATCTAATGGTATGATAACGTGAAGAATACCTGTGAGTAATTCATTGTGAAGAATGACTCCAAGTTGTTGAACAAATTGGGATCAATTCCGACCAATGGCTTGATTATGGATACCCCGGGAAGCGGTGTTTCGGTCCCTCCTTTCACTTCACACTTCTTATATAATTTACGTTTACTTTAATCGCGAAATCAAAATACAAAACAAAATCAATTAATTGTCACCAAAAGTGGGAAAGGGATGGTTGAGCTCTGGGAAGGAGTGTGAGTACAGACCCGTTGAAAATGGCCATCAAATGCATGATCCATACGAAAAGCCAACCGCCGACGAAGAAGACGGCCAACCCGTAGAGGCAATAGTGAACGATGTCTGCCATCGATGGAGATAATGACGACTGCGAGGGTGTGGGCAGTGGTCGGCGGTGTTGGCGGCGGCGGTGGCGACGGTTGTAGTGTCGGTGGCGGTAGTGGTGGTGACGGCAGTGATGGCGGTGTTGGTTGTGGTCACTGTTGTGGGTCTAAGCGGTGCACCAGTACTACATGTTGTTGTTGTTGTGTGGTTGTCACTCTGGTTAGTTTGGTAAGTTTGGTAACGGGTGATTACAGACGTAACTCTCACTCTCAGTTACGAATGCCTGACAGTAACGTAAGTTAGTTTGGCTGTTTATTGTCAATGCGGTTGTCATAGAAACCACACCAACGCCGCACACCTCTCGATAGAGCCAACACCTCTACCGCACGCACAGCACAGACAGCACTGACAGCGCTATTACAACACTTACCATCACTTTCTCTCTCACACAAACTTTATACACTGTTTGTCAATGAATTGCATAACAATTAACATACAATTTATTAATAAACGCTAATTTAATTATATTTTTTTGCTAAAAACCCAATTGCGAGCAATACTTTAATTTCCTGCACACATATAACTAATGCACTAAAACAACACTTTTTACTGTTATATACGATTGCATACGAATGGCATTATTACACAATTATAGGCAACACTCGACGAACTCGTGTTCACATTAAAAACTTTTGAAAAGTTTTTTACTTTTCATTGAAATATATGTTTATTTAATTGTCAAAATATGTGATCATTTTATTTAATTTTTAACAATAATTTTTATAAAATACTTTTATTGACAAAATCTGTTTTTTAGTTAAAACGAAAATGACTTTCGCTTTCTATTGACTTAACGAACAAAAACTTGTTTGACTTCAAGTACGGTATATAGAGTACAGACTAATGATGTAATCATCGAAACGTTGCAAACAATTCATGCAATCATTAAAT